GACATTGTTTACTTGACAATCTGGGAATACACGTTTGCAAGGCACGAGCCAGGGGGTGCGCTCACATACTCGGAATTGATCCATGTCAAGCTAATGCGATATCTATCGCCTCCTTTTGATTCAAACAGCATTCGCGCGCAGTGAGGTGATTCCCATAGGGCTCCAGTCCGCTTCCACGCGTACCACCAGCCTGTGAACTTAAGCGTTGCGAGAACATTTCAAATCGTACATTTAATAAATAGCACCACTGTTAACAACTTACTATTGACTTTTCATGCATACGATATTGACTAAAAGACTGGAGAGCTAAAGTCCTTTTTCTAATTTCTGATCTAACCCGCAGTAGAGTGTAAAGCTAGGGGCAAATCATAAATTATCACAGTAACGAAGAATCCAGCGTAACACGTTACAGAATTATTTTAGGTTAGATAGGAATTTCACTACAAGCTGTCAACCGTTCGGCCTATTTTGACAGGTTAGACCTACAGATCCTCGTAACTATAGGTACTGAGCAAATTTAGCACTACGCTCGACGATCTAGCAAGCACCCATGCAAAGCATTTTGGTGCCATCTTAAGATGATGTTTGAGAAAATGCCCCAGAAGAGCCTTGCGGTACAATAATGGTAGGTTTTCTGCCAACATGCCACATTGACGATGGGCCGCCGAACGTACACTATAATTATTACTATTAGAAACAATTTAATAGGCGTCTGAGTCTGTCATCGAAGTCTGAAGCGAAATCAAGTAACAATAGCCTATCGCAACGTCTTTCTTGTGTGATAAGGGCTTCCAGAGGAACTTCCATAGGAGCACAGAAGTGATACTATATCGGCAAACGTATACACCGCATTTAGTCTGCTTATAATACACTGAGTCAGGAGCGTACACTGGCCAACCTAAGATCCGAAGCGTCTCACATAACATATCGATCTGATTTCTGTGTGAATATCTGAATTCTTTTAGGGAGAGACCAAAATTCGCGGCCTCAGGTCCCGCCAACAACATCTACTACGCAATTTGTGTCATTTGAAAAAAAAAAAGCTATTTAAAAAATGGGATAAATATGCTTACTTGGTCTGGCTCCATATCAGACATGGGTTTAGCTAGATTTTCTGCGTTGCCTATAATCGGTAAACGGAAAATGACAATTAGTACCGTAAATAAGCCAAGCAGCGGATCCGTTTTACCACACATGCTTGTGGCAGGCTTCATTTTTGGCCAGTCACCTAAGCATTTAGCGAATATCTCACACATGCAAAATGTCTCTCTTAGCCTATTTTATACCGAAAAGGTTTAATGCGTCTACCCATGTATTCGTTGATTGAACTGAGGATAACAACAGCGGGCCGCGCTATTAGCGAGCGACCAAAAGATCGTTTCACCTGGTAGCGTTGCCGTTGCCGTTGCCAGAGAGAAGCTGTCTACACAGATTACGAAAATTCACCCAATCTATACAATTGATCTTATAGAGAAAATCCGAATAGAATATCTATCTATTTGATCGCTGATAATTTTCTAAAGATTACTATTGACTTTTTTGATTGCTTTCCTCATCAACCATATACCATTATATTACACTGCTCGTTCAGATCACTAAAATGTAATGAATATAGTTATCAAGATCAGCATATGGTCCTAGCATTTGTTTTGGACCTAAGTCGGGCTTTGATACTGCACAAAAAAAAAGTAAGCGATCGATTAGCTTGCAGACGCTTTCGTTTTTTTTTTTTTCTGTTACAAAGAGTATAGTATCAAATCTATCGAGGTAGGAAATAGTTAATGATCGAACGATGAATAATTTGTCGTGACAAATCGATAACTGCAGGCGCCATAGCCAGTGATGATGTATTTCGCCATTAAGTTCCGATGACAGTCATTCATTCATAAAAGGTTTGAGTGATACTCTCAAAGCAAAACCTACTCTATGTGGACCGAATGTGGGGCTCAATCCTGACGATAGGACTAATTGTTGCCCACATCAGATCATTACCTGCCAGTAAATGTCAATGCCTCTCTTAGGCTCCACAGTAGTAGATTAGACTGAAGCGATGTTATGTCTATGGTAAGGCCGAAGATTTTTTTTTTTTTCTTTTTTCTTTCAAGCATTTCTCTAGTTGCTGCTTCTATTTACGAACCTGTATTTTCCCTATGTATCCTAAACGAAACCCTGCTGCAGCTGCGCCAACGATCACTTGCTACAACTATTGGATTGATGACATTGTTAGTCGCAACCCGGTCTATCTTCCTGTCGGATTCTTCATCTCGCGGGGAGATACACTGAATCCCATGTGGGTTTTACCTTCCGCTTTTCCAAGGCACACGGTGATGATCTTAGCTCGATGGGTTCATTGTTCCTTTTAGGAGAATATTCGATTAACTTCTGCCATCTGGAATTTTTCCTAATTGTCCTGCTTTGACTGGCTAGCAGCATCTCCAATATTTCTTTTCTCTCCACTTCGTCTTTTTGTGCCAGTGTGTTTTAGACTAATGATGCTATTGTTCGACATTCTCATAGATGTATTGAACAAAATCACGGAGGAACGTGCTTATTGCCCCTATGAGTTTCCGTTTGAGGGGGCCCAACGCCGCCTTGGTAGAAGTGTAGGTCGCTTCCGCTGTTTTACAGGATAAACTGCTCCGGGCGCAACTAAACTGCTGTAGAAATGCAGAACTATCAGCATCTCGTTGCCTTTTTCTCTTTACGTGGTCTGCAATATACACTTTCCATACATACGTTGATCGATGAAGAGATACGTATATGTTCCTATTTGTAGAAAATCTAAGACGTAGGTGCAAGTTTCCCATCACCCCTATCTATTAGAAGCTTATGAGTACGTTGCAGAGAAAAACGATAAAGATCGCTTGTGACTTTTATAGTATAAAAGTTGTGATCATGTAATTTGGAAATGGCCAGACAGGATTACCGGCGCATGGTTGCATGCTATATCGGTTTCATCACATCATATGTACGTCGCGGACTATGTGCATCCGCACAAGATGTGCAGAAATATGTTTCAGGTACCATATAGCGTGTATATATATATATATATATATATATATACTGCAACGCCATCGTCGGGCAGCCTTTCTAATAAAACGTACCGATTTTCAAATTTTAGATTTTTGAGTTTATGAATTCACACAATATAATTTTATTTTTCCCAACAAAAACTTTTTTCAAAACAAAACAAACAAAAACAAACATAGTACACACCATCCTCTATCAAGGGGTTTGCTTTGCATTCTTGAATCCGGATATTATTTTTCACAGCCATGTATTTTTAGTTAGCCACGTGTACAACTAGGCTTTTCTTATTAAGGTCTTCTAAGCATTATAAACTTAAATAATAAGTATCAGAGTACAATATTCTATATTCCAATAACAATTTATCGAATTGTTTCAGCCGTAACAGATATATATATATGTAATGTAATAAATTGTTTTATGAGAAAATTAATATACTTCATCAACAAATCAACCGTGCAAAGACCTTACGTTTTAAAATTTAGCAGCTAGGTAGTTATCCTATTTAGATATTGCTATTAAGGTCAGCGCTAAAACAATGTAGCTCGGTTAAGGTGGAAGAACGAAGACAAATTTATTATGTAATGAGCTTGTTTAGCACTAGATGTAGACCATTACAGAATATTAACTGACTCTATCGCCAACAATGTCTTTTTAAGGGTCTTACTTTCAGTATCTAAGCCGTTAGGCATTGCTTCAGACAGATTGCCTAGTTCCTAGCACGAAAAGAAGTGTGTACGCCTGTTTCGAACCGAGACCACCATGGTTCTCTTAGTATAGTTTGAGAACTCGTTATCATTAGTCTACCATGAACTTTACAGTCTGTCAGTCGGTAGAAAGAGCCCGTCAGTTGTCATCGTCTGCTGGTCGTTGTTTATTATTGATTTTAGTGATCGACATCTCGTCTGTCATTTTAAAGGAAGTTAAACAAAAAAAAGCAAGCGCTAGTTAAGAACTTCACACACGTAGGTTAGCGGTAATTCGTCATTTTCACAGTTGAACTTCTAAGCCTGTACGACTTTGCACTTCGAATGAAGATCTAAAGGGTGATTACTTTTCATGACAGCGATTAGTGACTGATAAGTGTAAGTGCTATGGTTTCATGCGTTCGCCGACAATGTCGAGATACGTGCACCCGCACTCTGGGCCAAAAAAAATGGCGATTTCCCTTCGTGTTTGTAGTTCACAGAAAGAGTTTCCGAAAAAAAACAAACTTTTTTTTCTCCTGTCTGTAAATTACACGTTGAGTATATTCAATCCCGTCTGCGCCATCTTGTGTCTGCGTGCTTCAAACATTTCGATATAATTCATTTCGCTAAGGGCCAGCGGAACCCGATTCAATGACGTTTCAAATTCAAGTACTAGATTTCATTAAAGTCTGTGCACACATTGTCCCCGTGTGGTACAGGCAGTGTGTGAAGTACGGGTTGAATCGCTTGCCAGCAGGCACTAGACGCTAATCTGTGCATATTGGCAGTAAAGTGTTTCTCTGGAACTAGCGAAAACATTCCGTTCAATTTGTGCCGTATCAAATCAATTACGGCGAACGTTGTACTGTTGTTATTTGCGAACATAATTTAAGATAACAGTGCTCAATATCTTCTTGGGCAACATGAATCCACATAATCTAATCTCGAACGGTATATATGACCGGTCGAGATTAGATCATAATGATGATATATATATATAGAGTTTCTCAAGATAAAATACTGAACGACACAACTTGTCTGAACATATCTGCATTCTATGCGCAATCAGCTCCTGGTTAGTTAAGCAGCTCACTACAAATAGACGTCGTTGCCAACTATGGAATACCCGGCTGCGACGAGCTTTCATTATATACTAACACAAAAGAAGTTACAGAGCTATTCATTTTACATGTACTACAATTAACGACAAGGTAAGAGACAACGTAATCATAGCCTAAATATGTCTAAATCGGTTAGGCCAAAACCCTTTGGCGGCCGTGCGGCCTGGACTGTTCAACTAACGGCTGAAAGAGCCAGTGGTCGCTGATTTAAGTTCCGCCCTCGGCCTACACCACGCTTATGACGAAATCAAAGGTAAAGCAAAATGCTTTGAATATTTTTTAACTTCTTTTGTTTAATAGGCGTTACGAAAATTGTCAATAATACCTATTAAACATCAGATTTTTGGAAATTGATGAATATAGCATTTATATATCAGGACAAAGAGTGACAAACAATTCCCTACAAAATAGCTAACTCACCGAATACTGCAGCAAGTTGACTTCTTTTTTTTTTATTAACGTCAATTACAGTTCGCTCATTGAACACAGGTTACTTCTCCGTAAAATTTGTGTAGGTAACATGTCAGGACGGAATAATACGCACTCATCAACGTCAGGACAACTAGCAGAGCTTGAAGAACGAAAAGCGGACTTTGGATTGGTAATTACGCGTCGACGAAAGTTCGCTGTGTTCAGCTCGATAGAATGCACTAACTTGGAAAACGCTATCGTTGGCGCCCTATCAATCCTACTGGAGAAGTTCCACTTCGATACGAACGTTACCCAGTTGACGGTAAGCGGCTGCATTATAGCTGTGGCATATAAGGACCTAAAGCAGTACGTCCTGCTAGGCTACCAAGGCCCAACAGTCAGTATGCTGTTAGTCGACGCTTCACTTCAACAGGTCTGTAGGCAAAACCTGGTTGAAACTATGAATGCTGCTACGTTGAGCGTCTGGGAGCCACCCCAGCTCACGTCGTATTTCGTAGCGGGGTTTCTTGTGGGCGTTTGGAATAACAATTTCGAAGCTCAAATAGAGATCGATTCAGGTCCGACGTGCGAAACCTACATAAAACTGACTAACGCATTTGTGCTTGATGTGCTGAACAGAAAATTCCCTGCTGGGGCCTCGAAGGCAAACCTCAAGGACGCGATTACCTTCGTCGAGCAGAGCATTCAACAACAAATGGACAGACTCAAATGGCCTCTGGGAAACTTACATGCACTAAGTATAGCTGGTATACTTGATGTTTACTCCGGTGGAAAACCAGAACTCATTATTGAAGCCGAACAGATACTTAGTGTAACCGCGTTCATGTGTGAAACTCTTGAAGCTGAGGGAATTCAAAAACGCGAAAAAAAAATTAACTTGGAGCACTAAACAGTTCAGCTCAATCAACCAGATACCAATAACGCGCGGTTCAATTGGAATGGAAAAGATCATTGCACCGGTTGCAAACGTCGTCAGTGTACATTGCCATTCCCGTCAGATGCGGGCGGGAATTATACACAAAATGAATGATTTGATGATAAGTAAGACGTGAAGATTATTTCCACAGTGGATAGCATCGAAACATCTTGTCGTGTTAAATATGTTTTTAAGAAGTGAATGATATAGTGCCATTGACGTACGTAGGATCATAGCGTGCATGTGTTGAACTGATCGGAGGCTTAGTGTTATTTAGCACGGGTAGCTGCCCATCTGCCCAAATTAGTTAAAAGGAGAATGTTACAAAATTTGTATGTATTTGTTGGAAATATGATTACGATCCACTGGTTATTATCTACTGAGAGTACTAGAAAGTTAGAATTGCTAAAGTCTTCGCTTCCCACCGAAAGTAACACGGTTTAAGATTACTACAGAAGGTCTTTCATACCGTATTTTCTGGCTTATTTTATCTACTCGAGTACTAACGCTGCATGAAATGCTCTTCAAGTTCGAACCAGTAGCTCTGTCAGTATCGGTTCGCATGCGGTACTCTAAAAACACATTATACGCTTTTGGTTCATTTTTAATACGCCTTGCCTTATCTTAATGGCTGGTGTGTACGCTCAATAAAAACACAGACCTTTACGAAAACAGATTGTATATATTTGGCACGTGTAATTTACCGACCAAAGTTACCGTCAAAGTTAGTTTTATCTAAAGCATTTTGATTTTTGGCATTACGTGACAATAAAATTTAATTCGCAGATCTCGTGTACGGCGCAATAGTTCGGCGTATACCGAATCGAAACTAAACCGCTCTGTGGCCCACCCGTGTAGTAGAGAAACATAAGCATAGATCCATAAAAAGATCCACCGCCATATGCAAGTATAGTACTTGCATATGGCGGGTGTTGAGAATGTATGATATTATCAAAATATATATTAATACGTTTGCGATGAAATCATTTTAACAATGAGCAAGAAAACGATTTCACCACGGTCTGGCTTGATCCATGACCGATTGAATCACTTCAGTAAAGATATTGCAACTTAAATGAGATTCTCGCATACTACAACGCTAGGCCAAAGTGTCTTATCAAAATTACATTGCCTAAACGACGGCCTGAAGTATAGCTGTGTGACCTTCTTTTTCCATGACGAGGCCCACGGTCGGTAAATAATCGAACCGTCATCAATGACGGTAACATTGTTGTTATATGAGGCCACTTGCGTGAGCAAGCCACCATTTTACTGATAGAACGAATTTGTAAAAAACGTTTTTAGTTAATGTATGCCGTGCGGGACTTTTGCAAAGGTGTTGAGTATCCGCCTTTATTTCTTTGGCACAGGGCGAGTCGTTTGTTTGACGTGGAATACATACAAGTCTTCTATCTAGCGCTTATTGCCGGCCGGTTTGTAGCGGTTGAACTAAAGAGGTCGTGCGCTTTTTCTAAGTGGTGTACATTTACTGGCGTACTTATAGCGTCGTATATCATACAACATCACAATGCAGACTTTAGAATCTATGAAGATTTGAGTTTCATGCATGTAGCCTGCGAACACTATTTTGATGACAGCTACAGCTCCGTCCTTTTGTTATTTACAACACCGTCAAAATCTGGCCCCATATTATATAATCTTAGCTTTGTAAATATCCAGCATGTAGAAGATTCAAATGAACAGAACAAGAAATTAATACAGGTACACAAAAATGAAGAAAAGCATTTTCTAGAAGTTAGTCTTCTGAATCACGATCACCGCAAGAGGCATCTACGATTTCGGTAAGAAGCTAAGCTGATCTGAGTTCAAGTTGCTTATTGCCCATGTAGGCAAAAATACTCTCGCTTATGTCTTATATCGGTGCTGATAAATATACGTCGTTTTCTTTATGAGTGTTTTTCTCGAAAATGGGACTAGAACCCCTTACGTTCGCTAAAATGAGTTTTTACAAAGACAGTCTCGGCTCCGTACTTCTAGATGGTAAAGTTCTTCCAGTTAAGGATCCACAAAGGACACCATGATGTATCGGGTACCATTCGTTGTGCGGAGTCCTTCATGGTAGTGGGTTAGCCGACCTGGATGAAGGAGAGCCCAGCCTGAGGGCGAAGAAGTTACTGAACAGTTGTACCTGTAACAGACAATTAGTCAAATGAAAACGTTTCAATGTTTTTGCTGAATGCCCAGTCTAAATGACTGTTTAATGGCAGTGATCCCTGTAAGCTTTTAAATGGAGTTTCTTGACCAAACTTACCTGATAAATCTGCTTCCACCGCCCTCAAAGTCAACACCGACCTGGTTGAGGGCTAGGTTAATCGTATACGTCGACGCATCATGGTGAGGTCTCAAAGCTGGCTGTTCATCAGGCCGATAGCGAACTACAAAATTCATAATCGCTTTTGGCGGGTCATGAAAATAACCTGCAGTTACCCACAAAAATAAGCCTTCTCAGGTGGGTACATATAGCTCAGTTACCCTGACTAGAAATGTAGTTATAATTTTGTTCCTATGCCATTCCAACCTCACATATTACATGCACCATTCATTCTCGTATTGCTTTCTCAATCTAATCATGCAATGCTCTGGGCTTTACTATCGAAATTCAGCTGTTACATGCTGCGATAATCAAAAATGTTTGGTAGTGGAATAAATAGAATTCAGTGTACCATATTTATATAGTACATACCGGTAAAGACATGCTCCTGAACTGGTCTTACATACTCGCGTAAAAAATACAGCCACTGGGGTTCCAGGCCAACCTGCCGCATATGAATGTCCCGTGTTGGCACGTTCTCGTATCCCCCTGCCAGGCGAGGGTCCTATCAAGGAAACAGTGCCTTGTTATTGTGACCCACCAACGTACAGCGACTAAGTTATCTCAAACAAGATGAAAAGCAGTAGGCTATATTTATCATTTATCCAAAGAAGGAATTGTTGCTAGGGCACATATCTCTGTATAAATCTAAGTATCAGTTGTAAAGCTCCTTATATAGAAAACGCTGTTCTTATATTATATATATATATATATATATATATATATATACAGTTGATATTTTAAACAAATTAGCTTAGCTTTTTTTTCACAGTTTTATAGTAACATAATGAGAAGCCAGGATGATGGACGTAAGAACATAGCGGAATAAATATCAAGGTCTTGTTTTAAAATACAACTTACCGAATTCGTTCCATCAGACCATTTGCCAAACGCTTCCATAATTTCGATCAGATGACGGCAAAACGTCGGGCTTGCGATCGGGAACCAATAAACATCGGTACACGGCTGTGAATCCCGTAGTAAAAATGTAACAGTTTACAGTCCTGTATGAAAAGTAATTTCGGATTAGCCCAATAACATTACAGCGGACATCGACTCTCACCTGTAAAAGTGTGCCCGAAATATTACGGAAGATATTCTGATAATACGCATGGATATAGCGTTGTTCCCATGCGCGCTGGTTTTCATAGATTTCATAAAAGTCAGGATGGGTCCGTGTGTAGTCGAAGTTTTCGGGGTTGATAAGAAATCCAAAATCTTCAAGGTTATCCACCCACATAAATACACCCTGAAACAAATTTGATATCAAAAGACGTGCACGATTTAGCAAACGTTGACGCTTCGCACAACAACTATAATGCAATGATTTACGTCGCAAACCTGCTCCTATCATCCTTATAGGATTCCCATAACAGAACGTTCAATCAGGGTTAGTCTACTTTAATTTGAGACACTTCGTTTAACTTTTATTCCGATCAAAGGAACTCTTTAGGGCTTAGAGTAAGTGGGAAATACAGTATTTATATATAGCCATTATCACAGGTCTTCGTCATACCCCTTAAGGTGTTTTGGGTTTATTTGCGCTTAGAAGTATGAATCATTTAAAAACATTCAAGTTCTTTTACAACTAGCATTATGCACTAAGTTGCCTATTTCACACCTAGATAATACTGACTTCATCTACACACTAGCTCGCATTTAGGACTCAATAAAATCCCAAGAAAATTTCTGGGTAACCCAGTATCTCTAGGAGATTTAGAGTTTTACGCCTGGTATTGCCACTACTAGGGAATAAAAGGTACTCTAAAAATTTCTATCAGGCGATTTGCGAAGAGGGTGGTTGGGAACTATATAAATTCTTTCTGACCATTATTTCTAAATTGCTATAGTGGTTTTTTAGATGCTTCACGCATCGTAAGAAACTGAACAGAAAGGTAGCCTAGGTTCGTGAAACGTGCATGTTTTCTACTTAAAGAGTTTCATATAACTTAATTCGATATCTCGGACACGCTATTATCATTGCATGAACTTCAAAACACATCTAAGTAGCAGAATTACTAACAAATTACAAACAAACTAAGAATTACTAACTAGCAATTTTTTCAATATAAAAATGTGTATATTAGCTTTAGCTATAATATAATAAAAATGTGGGGTAGCCCCTAAGGTAGCCAGGTCAAAGTTTTTCATCAACAAAACAGCACTTGAATAGTAGAACAATCAATGTGGGAAAACCCACCTGATCTCGAAGGTTTCTACAGAACGCCATGTCTGGATCCAAAGCGCCATGCACGTACAGAGGAGGGTTCTTCATGAGGATGGACGCCTTCACTAAATACACTTCATTAACAAACGGTACATTCCATATGCCTCTGAAAATACAGCAATATACTTTAAGAGCTGCGCTTCCGCTTTGATTTAGAGTTAATTCAGGGCAACTGGGAAGCTAACAGTTGCTGAACTCTATATACGGCCATTATTTTCATTTTTATTCACTTCTAACACAATCCGACACAATAAACGTGCACGTAAAGTATTGTTTCGGTTACGTGCTGCCTAATTGATTGTTGCTTTTTATCAGTGTACTCTTTCAAGTACTATTGATAGTAACTAATACTTGGACATCCAGAAATTCTGACCTCTTCTCGCCTGTGACAATCTCCATATAGTCGTGACTGCGTGCGTAATAGCCTTCAGACGATAAGGCACCCCAGAAGTTGGACCATGCCTGTCCAGACCGAAGTACCATCGGAGCAATGAACAATCGGTCCTTAGCAATCAAGTGTTGAAGAACCTGAATACATCATATGTGTAAAAAAAAACAGCAGAAACTTCAGTAAATACGCTACTGGTACCTAACTAAAACTAAAGTTCATGCTTGTCGTATAATAAGTATTACAAACTCTGCATCACGGCCAGTTCCAAGGAATCGTTCGAGGCATAGGGGTAGGTACAAATAGAACAAGGCGACTCGACTCACGGCAGCCATGCTGGCGCAACCGGCACGCTTTCCCTGCTGCTTCCCAAAAACTCCATTGTCAACTGTACTACTAATACTGGACTAACAGTGCCTCGTGCCTGACATAAAGAAGATCTGTACACTTTTGAGATAAGCGAGACATATTTATTAGTCAGCCTTGCCTTTTCTAATGAAGCTATTAAGCAATATGTATTATTCTCTACTTCATTGGCATATTCCGTATGAAGGTCACCATTTAAGTCATATAAGAAAGTACATACCTCATGAGCATTATTTAAATAGAATAAGCGATAACAAACCTTTGTGTTCTCTAAGTGGACAAGGGAATCAAGGTTTAAATAATACTCGCATCCATTTGCAAGACATGATTGCCTGAAAAAGGTACCACAGATTTTGTTAGATAATCCATCGCTAAAAACAGATGTAATTAAAGCAAGATGTAGGCAAGACTGATCACACAATCGTAAATATTGCTATACCTAAACATTTACTTTTCAAAACTACGGTGCGGTAATCCTTTGTTTGAACCACTGTTCTTAAGCTATAAGTTATATAATATAATATTAGCATTTATGAATCAGAGCTATTCGTGTATTACACATATTTTTTGCATTTACGAAAGCTCATTTTTCTAGAGCGTTTTCCATCGATACATACAAAGCTGCGTTGCGAGCTTTCCATTCGGCCAGATCGTCTATTGATTTAACCTCGACCTTGGCATAGTCCTGAACTTCAGTCTTGAAAAAGATGCGAAGCCGTTCATTGTGCCAGTCTCCTGCCCGATGTATAAAAAGTGACATACGCGCCTTGGGATAGTCTAAAGCAAGGAACTTGGCAAGAAACTCGGCAAAGAATGGTGTTGCTTCTTCGATAAAAATGCCTACTGTCACTTTTGGTAACTGAAAAATGATGGGTAATAAATATTGCTCAGATCAGTCAGATCAGAACGAGATTCGACAAGTGTGCTATGGCTTCATTAATTGTCTTTTTCAACATGGCTCTATGTTTAGGGGCTAATGTGGCCGAATCTATACTTAGGTAAGGTATATTTTGCCAGAAATTATTTTTTAAACTATGAAGGATACGCTACGAAGGGGAACGATGATATTGAACATTTCTAAAATGCAAAACGTGCGCTCTGCTTAAGCAACGCCGATTATCTATATTTTATTTTCTTTTTTTCACACCGGTCGCCTAGGATGCCATTATCCATATGGGCACCCACGCGGGTGAAGCAGTTGTGTATCTGTAGTATATGTCTTTGAGTCTTTTTTTTTTTTTTAATTTGAATTTGACGGTCAAAGCACCTCAACAAAAAAAGATTGACGGGAAGTTATGAGATACGAAACGCGGCTGATCTCGAACTACAGTGATTGCAACAATTCTACGGTATTTGCATTTCGTATATGAATCAATTCATACATAAATTGTATGAATCAAACCTTTTCTTGATCATCGCTAAGTTCGCGTCTGTCGCTGCAAACCAGGCATCCTTCTCCGTTTTTCCAAGCTCCTGCCACGTAATTTGCTAAGGAGTTCAATGCTACCTAAAACCGCACTCAGAGAAAGCGAACATACAACAAGTATTTATGGGCCACACTTTTTTATCCCAATACTATATCATAATTAAACTTATCCATTAGAATAACAATGTAAAATTCAAAACCTACATATATATGTGTGTGTGTGTGTGTGTGTTAGGTGGTTCAATGTGCAATGTAAAAAAATACTAATAAGATGACGCTATTCCCTAATAGCGCTACGTTTCGCGCTAGTTTTGTTCCTATTCGAAAGGAGCTTGTGGTCTTTGAAATTTCTCATGTCGTTCAGTCGAATATCGTCACTCGAGCTTTTAACGGACGAGTTGTAGTGAATCATAGATATTTGAGCGGTTTGAGCCTGGAACTACGGCGACAGAGAAAGCTTGCTCGATAGATAGAGCTTCTATCCGGGTTTTAGTACTAGAAACGCCGTGATCTGTCTGTTTGACAAATCTCCGGGAAAAATTCGAATTGGATAATGAGTCTCACGAAAGACTTCCTGCGAGGGTGACTAATGTAGTGTTACTAGCTGTGGTGCAGGCCGACCTATCTCAAACTGTCAAACAGGTAGTAGTTCTCAAATTTGGTGAATGTGGCAGTACCATACTCGTTTACCTGCTCGAATAAATGGAATTAAAACAAAATTGATTAATGGGTCCCGCTTGATTGGAAAAAGGATCAAAAACAGACGTGGAGACACTTGCCTCTCTGATCCCACGTTACAATAGTGAACTTCCATTGAATCGGGACTTGTGGTCCAAAATCGATTCTCTGTCATATAATCGCAGACGGTCACATCAGTTAGTGGATTCAACTGAACCGGCGGGACATAACCCTAAAGCAAATGTACAGTTACAAAAGTTTTTGGTGTTTGTTTAGTGTTTTAATGCAGACGCTGAAATGTCTTGACAACAAACGGAGAAGATGACGAAAAGACTCCGCAAGATGCAGCTAATATTAGCGAACAGAAATAGACCATTTTTATCACACGATAACGCTCGATCTCACACCGCAAAAAGTTATAGTTAGACTACCTCTGTTATCCACGATACCCGTTAGACATTGCTCCCCCAGATGATGTTTTTTTTCAAACTCTCGAATCCCTGAATACGAAAATTATTTAAATTTCATTATGACTATGTCGAAATTTAATGAATAGACTTTCAAACCCCAGACTTCTACGGAAATTGAATAAAAATAAATTACCATTGATTAGAAATAGATCATGCATAATAATGGTAGATAGTTCGATTAAAAATAAAAAAAAACTACGGCTGTAAAAAAAGTTCGAAGTTGTTGAGCCCCCGATGTCTCGTTACATACTAAACAATGAAATTGTGGATGATTGATTGATTGATCGATCGATCTATGTATACACTCTATATATATATAGACACTCCACATTTATTCAAGGGATTAAGGGGATCAAAAATTCTGAAAGCTTTCCGAAGAAAAAAACACTAATAAGGATGGGCGAATCCTAGAATTTCTGTGATAACATTTTCCACAATTATTATCCGGGTACATCTCCATATATTTCATAAAGCTATTTTAAATTCGAGTGCTAAATTACTACGTAAGTGAAGGTCACAATCCTTGGTTACCTTTGATGCTCCATTTCCGTGAATCACAATAGGGTATGTTCCGTAGGCGTTATTCCTTACTTTTGGATAGTCTCCATCATAAGTTAGGTTCACATCGCCCACTGCTCCATTGAGATTCTGGAAAATGTGTGCCCGACTGTCCAGACGAATATTTAGCGACTCCTACAAACGTTAGAGACAATTCATTGGTTCATACATGTATACATACGTGACAAATTACGTTTTGGTTCAACAGTCACTAAAAATAGACAGCTGGGTAGGAGCGGTGTTATTGCACATTTTGCCTATTTGTCTATGTACAATAAAATTGAGCTTCCCGCGTTTAAATGACAGCAGTAATAATAATAATAATTAAGTTATTATTATTTCACAGTTATTAGTTCATTTCTCTTTTTTTTTTTCATTTGAGGAAGTTCTAATCTATGAAAAAGCGTTTATTTACCCACTTAGGGTCTTTCAGTAGCCCTAAGTTCATTCAAGTGAACATTACAACTACTGTAAACACCACCGCTAAATACATATCAAATAAAGCTAGTAAACCCTTGAACTCTGGAAGCTCCTAGAAATGTGCTCTATTGTCCGTCACACATTCTCAGCATTGTTCTATCAAACTACAGCCGCTTTTGCTTGCACTCAATCAAAGAAATACTTAACCGTTTAGACAGATGAAAACGTTTATACGCCAATACTTCAAAAACGTGGATACCGTCTCCTGGAGACACGGTTTTATAAATTTATTGAAACAACTCAGAAAAATGCTTTTGGGTAATCATTGTCAAAGACTCATAAAAAGCTAGCTCTGACATCTGAATTTCAGATGTTACTATTATTGAACTTCATCGACAAATGCGTCCGTACAGGGACGTGTAGATATCGACAGTGTGGCAGTTTTGAAACAAATATCGGATTAACAATGCTCCGCTTACGCCATAGCTCTGAACGACACAAATTTAAATAAAGCACTTATACGTTAGCCTGAAGTCCAGGTAGAACGACTGTGTTATACAAACAGGTTTAGTAGAATCAGCCTACTCGTATTCGCGGGTCGAGATAAATCTTAGTGTAGAATAGCTGATCATCATCCTCGTCCTTGATCAACGTATGAGTAACAAATTTGTAGATTTCCGGCGCGTAGCCAATAAATCCACCTGGAACACTCAATAAATTTAGTTTGTTTCCATGCAGACTCTATGCTAGGACAGATTCTCATAAGGTCAATCGTGTTCTAAAAAATGTTTTCTTTTACTAACATGAGTATTAATTGACTTCTTCACTTTGGAAGGGTAGATAGTATTGCGCAGACCTGAATTGAGGTACTTTTTGCCTTCGGCCTCTGGATACTGTTTACTGAGAGAGGCGTCAGGCCAACAGAATCCCTCCGCAGAAAAAACTGCCCCAGCGGCGAACTCCGAAAACCTCGATAATATTTCCGTTGCACTTCCCGTGAAGATTACGTCATAGCTATCAACGAACATAATCACCAAATCGGTCCGATCTGAAGAACATAATTGTTAACTAGTTGCTATCATTTCAAAGCCACAATCAAACAAGTGCTTGATACGCGATATAAATATTACAGTAACGTAGTACTCTATGTATAGACTACCAAGGTAAACATCTACTTCGTTTTTGGGACACACACGAGTACGATACGAAGATGTTCTTTCTAAGTATGTATAATTTACGGTCAAATCGTTGAAAACACCTGTTTTTCGTCACTGCACCTATTTTAAGTGACGTAAAACTACTATATACTAACATAATAAGCTAGCTAAGCTTAAGCTGTTACGTGGCGGGATTAGTTCAGGTTCAATTTCGCCGTTTTGAAGTTACCATGTGTCCTATGTATGGGTTGGGTCGGATAAAAGAATCTAAAAATACATGAATGAGTCCTTTAAACAAAGGGTTTCTTCACAGTGGCAATTATGATAAGATAAAACAGGTGTGCTGCAGATTTTTGTGCGCCATTCGCGATGCTCACCTCTATATTTTTCCATTGCTTTTCGAAGAAGATTAACCTTATGGCCACCCCCTGGTGCCCTTAAAACATCTCCACCCCTCCATTCTTCGTCCATGCCGAGTGTCTCTACTTTGAGGCCTTCTCGATGCGCCGATGCCAAAAAACGATCATACCCTTCCGTTCGCTCCGTAGCGACCGTTATCACGATCAAGCTCACTAAAAATATTGTATCAATCTTAGAACACCCTAATACCGTCACATCTTCATCTACTTCATCTAAAAAAAATTTTCATATTTTTTAGCAAAAATGTTCAATTGAGCATTCTGCATCTGAACTACCCGCGCGAGAACAAAAAAATACCTACTCATCAATCATTAACAGTGCCATCCAACAAACTTAGCGAATTCTAAAAAATCTGTCAACTGAGATAGCTCAGATACTGGCCGGCATCAGCGATCGACACACTGAAGCACATATCTAAATAAGATAGCCCGTTGTTTTATTGGAAACCTATTGCTTAAGTCAGAAGTTTTCTCAGGTTTCACCAGCATACTTCATAGGTCTACGGAATTAGGTCTAACTGCTTCTATATTAATAGGGCAATAAAAAACGTTTCGTGGTCCGGATTCCGGACGGTCTTACCATAGATCCTTATTCATTATTTTACGTTCAAGGTTAAATTCACTGAGGCACTTGTCGAGAAAGCTCCGTGCGAGTTCTTGCTATATCGTTTGCAGCTAACCTATGAGCATATGTGAATCTAACGTCCTCTGAACAAAATCCATAAAATCCACGTTCAGAAGATATGCCGAACTTACCATTTTCATTATCGCTGTACTTTTTGTTGGCGCCCAAAATAGAACACGACCTGTCAGCATCGCAGTGATCTGAAGAGGCACATATTCAGCAAAGCAGCATATATTATATCACTTTATTATGAAATACCCAGTCGATGCCTTCATGGACTAGTTGACGTATAGAAAATAAAACTTCTTTATTGCACACCAGGTCTGTACACACGCATCTATGTATCATAATATTCGTTTCGTTCAAACAAACGCTTCATTGCATTTGCTTCGTTGTCAATTTACCCCCACATCAATAGTTGCTCATAAAATTAACTTCAAAATACAGAATAGACATTCGTCTATATTATATTATTATATATTATTATTATTATTATTATTATTATATATAATATTATATATATTATATATATATATTATATATATTAGGTGATAATACGTTGACATAAAGCAGAGCTATTGAAAAGCCATAGGACATAAGGGTCTTTGAGCTATCCGGTATTCTGTTCTTTTATGATGGGAAAGCATCCGGAATCGAAATTCCTTTCTTAGTCTTCCTCTACCGATGCTTGTCAATAACCATATGGGATCAAGCGTCGATAACATCTTCCATATGCTGTTAGCCCTAGGGCTCTAGGGTATTTTCACAAATGTGTGGGCGGAGATATTATCTTGCCGTGATTATTTTTCTGTTTCACCATCCATTGGCGTACCAGTACGCTTGGCTAACGTCAGGCGTATTTTCTCTAGATTTATATAGCGCCATCGACTTCGACTTCGTCATTTACTTTTCTCAGGAAGTGCTTTCCCCACTCTTGTAACTCGTGATTATCGAAACTAGGATTCGCCGAGCCTGATGAATTCGGTCTAGCGTTTGAATGCGACTGACATATCGCGAAAACAGCGGACATTGTATCATCAGCATCGTTACGCTCGCAGTTTACTATCTGCTCTGGTTTAGGGACAGGGGATGATAGTTTAGTCTGCGTCGCTGCATAACCATATGTAAAAAAACACAACTCAGAGTATACTGACATGGTCAGCTCTCGTTTCAGCCGGAGTGTCCGTCTGTGCTACATCTTTCCACTGCTCAAGTATGTTTACACCAGGAAATAGCGAACGTGTTCCCGCCCGGGAATTCATATAAAATGTGAAGAAAAAAAAAAACTTATATCAAGGTCAAACGGAGAAGTGAGTGGTTAAGTGGGCACAATTATACTCTACGGCGGAGCCCTAAATCCCACAGCCAGATTGTGTCGTCCATTCGAAAAGAAAGACATTTTAGAAAAGAAACGGTCTTTGTTTTGGTAGGCCTTACTGGGTAGCCTGTCGATTACTTCGTCGGTGCAGCTGTAGGCCGAACACGTACGAAATACAGAAAGGAATGTCCAGTGTATTATCCTTCTGATAGAAATAGTACAGACATGACATATTCTTGATTGCCGCGTGAACTAGGGCAATTTCGGTAATTCTAATTGTTGAGATGCGTCAAACATAATTCTTAACCCCCACTTTCGACCCATGCCACCCTCAGAGCGATTAAACAAGGCTAAATTCGATTAAACTTTCTTTCTATACAGAAAACTGATCTTCACGACAATGAAGTTAGCTTATAATAACTTGGTGCGTTTGTGAGACACACAAACCGTGAGGATCCTCAAGAGTACTTTGATAGTTTTCGAACTTTAGACTATTTCATTTGTTATGCACGACGTTGTCATTTGTCCGTAGCGTGTGCTCGAAAAGTAGAGTTTCTCTTAAATTGCATATATAGAAATGCAATCAGATAGTATCATTAGCAAATATTATACAAAAGTAATATTGTTTCTGTGTTAAATTGGAATGTTAGTTTCGTCAAAGTTCGGTCACAGTTCACAAAATGGCCATACGACGTTTCTAATTTTAATTGTACATTGAATCGTTTTGGCAAGATGAGAGCAGATCCATTCCTTTGGACGGATAACAGTCGCCGAGATGTACGATGAGGGGTATGCTCCCGTTTTTTGTTACAGGCTAGAAGACAACTCTGTCCTACGAGATAAAGCCACTGTCCTCGCTAGACACTAAGCTGTTTCTAACTTTTCCTACTGAAAGTCACCATTCGTTCGACGTAATAAAGGCCTTCGACGATTGGACTAGTTAGTTTAACACAATAGTGATTAGGTGTTAATGTTAGTATATGAAAGTCTTACCATTCTCCGTCCGAACGGTAGCTTTGACGGAAACCGCTAGAATCGTGAGACACGGTAGTAATATGAAAGATCCAGCCCAGAGAACTTTCCGAGAGAACATATTTTGGAGAGCAATAGTTTAACTTGGCGCTTTAAAGTGAACTTCCCAGTAAAATGTTTCGCTGCTTCGGTCTGGATGCCCACTATTTTCACCGGGGTAGGTCCGCGAGAGGCGCTCCACTGCGCTAACGGGTCACAGGGGGCCGCCATCTTGCTTCGAAGCGTGTGTTGCTACAACTATCGATAGAAGGAAAGGACCGAATCACGGGAAAGGGCAGACGAGAGCATCTATTCATATCGAAAAAGTCGTTTCAATCAGCGAAAATATATTTATTTTAGGCTTTCGTTACGATAGACTATTCATTTTCCTTATAATCGTATAGTGGGACAAACAGTCAGGACGAAACCTATACCAGTTCATTACTCAGAACCACCTTAGCCCAGCAAAAATGAAAATATCTCTCTTATGACCTGTGGCTACATATTATGCCCACGTAGACATTTTTCATCTGAATAAAATTATGCCATAATATAGTCGTAACATACACTTGACTAAAGAACCCAAGATCAAATCGAAACACCGCAAAGATAGATCTAAAAGTTTCTCAGCCTATATATAAAGAGCGGTAATTCTTAATAAAATTCAACTAAAGTTTAAACAAGCTTTAGAATTCGTTTACAATTTTTTACTTTCAATCTCTATAGTATATATTAATATCCTGCTATTTGATGTAATATATACATATGTTCTTGACAACGATTGTCCGCTGCGTCAGTTTCCTTTAACAACGTTAGCTGACGGTGCCTACGTCGTAAGGCCGTTTCGCACGTTATCAGGTCAAGATCTAAGAGACTTTAGTTGAATTACGAAAATATTGAACATAGTTAAATGTACATATTTATTTCGAAATCGATCTCGAAAATGAGGTAAGCAAGATGCATTTTAAAAAAAAATGTAAACTTTTCTTTCACATATATACATTTTAAAATAAACTGTGTGGCTATTTAACATCATCTTAGGCCTTTTGTCGTTGTCCATCAGTTTAGGTTATTCGCTTACACATTCTGGGGATAAACGGTCGGACCATCGTTATTTTCTCAGCTGTCAACGCACACGTTGTTTTTTTTTTTTATAATTGCATTTATAACAGACATTTTTATAGTTGCTAAAACAAGTTCTGGTCGCTATCGCACGCCTGTCCTATCTATATACTCAATATTTATTTCCAATAACGAGTTTTTGGCCAATGACGAATGTTGTTCTAACCCATTTCCTGTCCTAGATACTCAATGCAATTACTGAAGTGTACTTGTAAGTCATCTTTCATAGGTGTTAGCGCCGATCGGATTTGTCTAGTATTTTTTTATTCAGGTCGGCGTTTTTATCAAAACGTAACAGCAAAATTCCACCACAGCATAACCGGTCGAAAAGTTTTAGTCCGCTTGAACAAAAATCGACTTTGATTATCTAGATTCTGCTTACAATGACCTGATTTTCGCTCTTCTTTTTACCAATCATAGAACGCATCCTTATAGCATCGCTGCTTTATAGAAGAAAACCTAAGTTGTTTTTGCTAACGTAGAGTCGACGTTAATTTGTCCATATAAAAGCTTTCTAGGTGCTTCAAAATTCAACTTACGTACATAGAATTGGCTACATGCTATTAGCACAATAAGCTGCATATAGAACAGCATATTTTATACTAGGCTTGCAATCAGTACCATGAAACTTTGAAAATCTGTACTGTTCAGCCCGAGGGCTGTATTAGGACGTCTTCTATTCTATAAATTAGTCTTTTTCTCCTATTTATATATTTTGCTTTTTAAACCTATAGTCATTTTTGAAGTCGTTCGTTTACGTCTTAACGAAGCACCCAGGCTCAAAGACGTTTCATTCCTTAGCAATGTGCAGTATCGAAGCCGGTCCGCTAAAGTAATAAACTCTCGGTTATTGTATTATCTCCAATAGCCACATGTACTTCTCTAAGCGCCGAGTTTGTTTCATTTGTTATGCTGCCTTTCGAATTCCGACAATATGCACTTTAACTTCGGCCCGTACTAAAAACGTCCCAGATCCAGCTCACAACCCTCCGTGCAGGCTCAGCTTCGTACACGCACTGTGAATTGAGCAGCTGTTCATCCGTCGTTTGTATTCACGAGCAACGCCATCTGGAATATTATTGGCCAGCACATTCTAATCTCTAGTGCGACCTTTTAACATGAAGCTAGATTGGTCGTACCTTCAGGACAAGTGACTTTCGCCGCTTCTGGTGCGTGTTCCTTTATCTGTGGATAAGAAAGAATGAAGGTAAGCAGTCATCCAACCAGCACTAGACAAACCGAACCGCGCGGCTACGCTTATACAAAGCGAAGCCGACAAGCCAAATGCCACCGAATACTGCTGTGTTATTGCTTTGAGGCAATCAGATCTGTCACATCAAAGCTACATGAGACAAGCACACGGACGTAGATAAATCCAGAAGCCATGTACAATACTGTATACTGATTGGGTGCCCCTAGGGAACGTAGTGTCTTCTTTTATCTAATAACCCGAATCGCCGTATGCAATAATAAGATCGATGACTGAAAAAAAGATTGGGAATAGAAGCGATGCAGTTAGGATGGCGCAACGGAAAACAGAAATGACTGGTCAGGCCATATACATGTCATGGGCTTATGGATGACTCATTGGATGTATATACGTCTCGCATCGCAGGCACGCATCAGGACATATGGCATAGACGAGCAAAGCAAAGAGGCGAATGAAGATCAAGAAACCCGGCACGACCTCTTTACTGCTCGCGCCAGACGGTAGATTTTGTCACCGATTCGAATGGCACGTTGCCGTCATTGGAACGGCCGTACGTGCGAGACCAGCGAATCGGAAGTTGGCTTGAGCGAAAAATCCCTATCACCTAAAGACTTCCTGCGACAGCTATTTACATTCTGTGTCGGCCGACACTATCAATAATGAATCCCGTAGGCTGGCAGTAAATTAAGCAAGGAGCAGGTATTGTGTGGATTTTATAAAAGACTGCTTGAAACTAAGTTTGTCAAAGAGGCCGAAATAAAATTTTCTGAAATATTAACAACCATAAAAAAACTAAATACTTGAATATATGCCTTAACGTAAAAGTCATATTCTGTCTAACGAATAGCCGAGTGTTTATTCCAGAAAAAAACAATTACGGTACTGCGTTCATTGTAGGGCATTGTAGATACATAGAGAAGATAATTATATGTTACGGTACACTGTATAATCATTGTTTCTTGTATGATTACCTAATTGGTGAATCTTGTTTTTTTTTCTAAATCAGTGTTTGTTTTTTTTTAATAACATGCGATGTTTTTGTGTGCAAATTTATATATAGATATATATATATATATATATATATATATATATATATATATATATATATATTAAGTATACGTACAATACGAGTAATAACTGCAGAAAAATTGAGTGTTCGCTTGGCGTATTTTAACGCATTTCTGCCAACGAAATCCAGGGCTGCAAATTGTGCTTTCGTGCATGTACAGATGACAAACCGATTTATTGTGGAACAGAAAGAAGTTCAGTCGGGGATCCGCTCTTACTTAGAAGCAAACTAATGTTCTTAAGAGCTTGCCAATTTCAAACAGAATGTTTTTTTGATGCAAGTGTTAATTACTATATAATGGAAGGCCTCTGACTTTTTCCGTGTACACCGGTCTCGTATGGATACATGGCGTATGCATATTGGAAAACTGGAGTCCCTCATCTAAACGGGTTCTACGTGCGGTACGGCTGTTGTGCATCCTACTAAACGACGGACTCCCAGCATGAAAAGGGGTGCGTCCAAGCTCACATACGAGCCTAGACTAGCACGTGTTTTCTATATTTAGTCGACAAACACGCCGCCTTCCACACCACAACCGGGACGAAGTCCTCGGTCTATTATATGCTGATGTATACCTAAAGCAGTAGGCCATATTGAATATAACAACAAGTCATCATATCATTACAATATTTACTTGTTGATGCACAAAGGCGGATTCCACTTTCACTTGGGGAGTTTTAAACAAATAATAGGATTCGACTGTCCAACGTTTTGGATCGTTAATGAATCAAATTTCCACAATGATGTCAGTAATTCAAGTGAGATTAATTAAATTAAATTAAATTAACATAGTCTTTTAAATCAATTAGAACTCTCAACTTGTCGCCTTCTGAGTTTTAAGAAAAAATTTCTTTCTAGCAGAATTTATTCCCTCCATTTTTGTACCTAAGGCGGGTTGCTGATTGCAGAAAAATTTTACATAGATGTTTTCTAAACGTTTTCGAAAAATAATGTAGAGCATTATACCGCACCTACGTCACGAAGATCTTGAACTACGATGGATCCTTCTAAGACAATTACGTGGTCGCTGAGGTACCGGATCCGTAAAACGTCTATGTCACCGTTGCAAGGCGCGGAGCTCTTGCAACGGTGACATAGACGTTGTAAAAGCATCGCTTGCCATGTAAACACGTTTGTGCTGTTAGCGACAGATGTGTTTGTAGAAATGACCATCTAAGTATGTTTAGAAACGTCACTGATTCAAACTTACAGCCTACTACATTATACACAGCAACGCCATCTGTATGTTCCCTTTTACGTTTCCGCCTCATCCGATACCTTTTAAGTTAATACCTAATCTTCGATACTATCTTATTTTAACGATCGTTTTGTATACTTTTATGTAAATACTCGTATATTTATCGTAATATTCTTATCACAAAGCTTCTAATCAGCAACGGTGCACATTATTAAGCATATATTTTACAACGCGAATGAAAGTTTAAACTGTCTTGTGGCACCCTTACCTGAAACTTTATCTTCTGGCGATCCTTGGACGTGTTTGCCTCGCCAATGTGGGCTCTTCGTCCAATACCAAGATGGAAAGGTACCTATAATTCCTCTGTGAACACTAACTGGGAGAATCATTAACGTTACTCCAGCGAATCTGGCAATCCTGGTAATTCTATATGTTTCGGTCATTTGCATGTACAAAAATATCATATAATTTCTCCAATAGCCAGTTATAAACGCATTTGAGGTAGCTTAAATAGCTTCAGAAGTACCGTTTGCTTAACTTGATTATACTAAACATCAAAAGCTGGGAATGGGACTTCCAGGATGGGACACTCTTGTACAAGGTGATGGTCCCACGGTGTGCCTCGCCTGAAATTACAATGATACTCTGAAAATACAGGAAATTTTCGAAAAGTCTAGGAGAGGGGTTCAGATCCTGCAACGAATATAAAAGGATAGTTTCTCAGCGCTACCGAGGAGGAAAAGGCCAAGACAGCCCGCAAGGAAAATTCTCGTCAGCGTAAAAACGCATATCATCGCACATTTGATGCGCCTACGGTGAGGGTAGTAGCAGTAACATAACAATCATCTTTATTATTATGCTTGCGACTCTTACAGTCGGTGCTGCTGGTGTTGCGGTCACTACGACAGTTGTTTGGCCGTCTTCGCCAGTCCCGCGGTTGTGTCGTCCACTCATATCGTAACGATGTTGTATGCTAACGTCCACGCACGACCGGCGCTTTCCTTTTCCGGCTTGAGCTGCTGTTGCTGCAGCTGTTGCATGAACAGGCCCACTTCTCCGTGTTTCTTGTTGCAGTTGGCCGACAACCGCGAGCAAATATTTCCTATGTACAAGCCTAAAACTTCAGTGTCCCATGCTGTCTTTATCGCCGTAAGCAGCAGAAATAGCAACAGAAACCAACGTGGCAATTACCGTCACCCAGGTGAGGCGCGTCATCTCTGTCACAAGCTGCCGCTGTTCTTGCTCATACAATGATGCACCATTTGCTTGTTGAAAATACGCTCCCTCTTTTCCTTTTCCTTGTCTCTCTCGCTGTCTGCTACTGTAAACAAGGAGCTGTGAAAACCTGCTCAAGGCGATCCTACCACTGATAATGGTGGCGATGATGACGACGACGACGACGACGACGACGATGTCGATGTCGAAAAAAGAAGAGTTTGCCTTTTCTCCCGTTTTTGCTGCGCTACTTCGACGGCATCGACGGAGCTACCATTGTAATAGTGGTGCTTAACAGAGTCATGGTAATGCTGTCGGCCGTAGCCGAAGCAACGGCAACGATGCTGCTAGCGGAGGCGCAGCAGCAGAACCATTACTACTGGTACAACGCCGACGACTCTTGCGTACTAGCACTACGACCGATTAACGCTAGCCCGCGTCGTTTTAGCCTTCTCGCCCTCAACACGGAGCCCTTGCAGGAGCAGCCATCGCTCGCGTTGTTGCCGTCGCCTGTGGTTCTGCGGTGCCCGCTGTTCAATTGGTGATGGCAGGTACGTTCTTAGACTCGTTATCGCACCACCGCAGCAGTTCGCCATAAGTTCTCCGTCAGTCCGCCAGCTGCGGTACCTGCGGACGAAGACGGTGGAACGCGTCGTCGGACGCGCGCGGCCGATAGTGACCGATCAAGCGACAGTCCAAAAAGTCGTCAGAGAAACGATCGTTTCTCATAGGCCGTCTTCAGAGGTCGCGTACTCAGTGTGTGTATATGTGTTTGTGTGTAATTGATCTACGAGCTTCAGTTCTTGGTGCGGAAATGAACACTCGTGGATTTATCACGATATAAAAAAAAAAGGCCGGGTGTGAAAATTACAACGGTGTACTCCACGTGTTTCAGCTGTTGCGCTAACGAACAGAAATAAATTGAAGAGTTCTGTAAGAGTTGGCTCGTAACCTTCGACGATTTGACAGTAACGAACTTCGTAAAGCGTTTCCCGTGAGTCCCGGTTCCAGTGACCGTGACTTTCGAAGGGTGTTTCTTATTGAATGAGAGTAAACTAGGATAACTCATAGCTCATCTTCGGACAACGGAAATCAAAAGTGACGAAAGCTGGATATATAGTTCTACTTCTCTGGAAACGATTTCCCTCAGAGACAGTGTTATGTGCCACTATCTTTATGAGGTGGGTAATAGGGTATGACTAGAAGTGATTAACTGTAGGATTGTAATACCTATGCGATTCCATTATCAATTACACGCGGGAGGCACACAAGGGCAGCTCAGACTAATCGAGGCTGAATTATGCGAGTACGAAGGTGTATTGCCCCGCTATGTCCAAATGCAAAAGCCATCACTTTTTAATATCTGTCGTCGAAGCTAGGAAAGAGAAGGAGTCTTTTTCATTTTTTTTTTTTATTATAAATCTGGTCCCTTCTTATGAGATGTTTATACTTTACTAACTGAAAGATCGGATAAGCCGCTTAGGTTGTTCATTCAACTTGAAACGTTGTTTTCTTCTACACCCGGCTAGTAACACGATGTGTAGCTTCGTCGCTCAGAAGTGTACAAGCCAGTCTTGATCATTTTGGGGATTAGGTTAGCGGCAATTTTACTGTAACTAGACGTTACTGGATTTCCTCCGTGCCACCTGATGCCACAAAACCTGATGCCACAATTTAATCGGAAAACACCGCCTGCGAGTAAATTAACTCTAGTTTTTTTTTGACTTTCTAACGTACTGAATGCTGAAACTCTGTCTCATCACTGCGCAAAAGGTTCTATCTTTCGTACTCGAAAGAAGAAAAATTTCGTATGAGTGTCAGCTTGTAAGATATTAGAATAAATGACGCTTTTAAACCAAATCCCACTCAGACTGATGCTCTACCTTAAATTCTAATTCACATACACAGAGGCAAACGTTCACATACACAAAACGTACGATATCTCAAAAACACAGTTATTTTACTCTCATTAACTGTCTAAGATGGATGACAGTCACTTTGTCCTAATGCGATTTGTGATCGTTCTGTTTTCAGCTTAACTGGACTGGGGTAGTAGCAGCGATGCTGTTGTTGGCTTGATTCAAGCAATAATTGTGTCCAAGCGTTTGTATAGCGCAGAAATCGCCATAATGTATAGTTTTATAGCACATCTTGATAGCAGATTACCACTCCCACGCGACGCGGCGATTCACAAAAACACGAAAGCCTGCCTGCTTGCCTATGTTGACCGAGATATCTATCGCCGACACGCAATGCTTTTGGCAATTTTCGTCAATTCAAGAGCTATACTATATTTTGACCACGCTATTGTTGTCTAGATGAATCGTGCAAGTTCGTGCAAAAATACACAAGCAGGATAGTGCACAATGTATACAGACTGGTATATGTAGTATAGAGGCATGCCTCAGTCAGGTGTGCTTCGTTTAAAGTGTACGCATACAACTACAGCAATACGCCTGCCGGTTCTATGAATTAATCAGTGCATCCTGTGGGTATGACTGATAAGTGCATAAAGTGCTTGGCTTTACCAGCCTGAATTTAAATTTTGTCAGACAATCTTACCGGCGTCGTCCGTTCTGAGACAACTGTATTCCAAATTGGCGTGCACAATGGGAAGCTTGGTCAGCTCTGCCTATGGCTTCATCTACACCGATAACTTTGTAATAACAATTTTCATAAAACAAATAATCGAATAAGTTACGTACGTTATTAAGAAACGCACAGCTTGCCAAAAGGTTGTCAACCAGCCGAATGGAAGAATGTTTTGGTGTGAAAATGTGGCAAAGGATCGTGATTAATGAGTTGGCTCACCCTAACTGAAAATGTGAGAGTCAGACGGCCGTATGCATAAAGCGGTCCTGCTTTTCCACACATTAGTAACGGGTACTTCGACACCGCTGGATTATTTCAGGAAATGCTGGCAAACAAATGTACAGGTAGTTCGGCAAGAGTAAAACGGCCATCAGAAGGGTTTTATGTGCACATTTACCTGTATACGAAGTTCTTATACAATGTCTGCCCCTAAATTCCGATCAGCATTTGCTTACCACTATTATGCGCGCCGTCTGTTCCTGGACTTGGCAGTAACGCAGGAAACGACGGTTGTAATAGCGCTTATACTAGCGTATGTCTACCTGTTCGCTTTCGGTTTTCGTGCTTCTGTTTGTTGCCCCGGCCACTGGTGCCACTAGCAACGAAGACAACGATGACGGCGACGAGTGTGACACAGCTAACTTCAATGAGAGATATGTGCCGTTTTATATTCACGTTACTGACTATAGACGGTACGTCAGTTGTTATTATTATTATTACCCCTACTAGTATTTGGATAACAACAATGAAGCGTCCGAACGACTAATTCTCTACGGAATATGTATCACGTGCCATTCGTCAGCCACTATTTAGTCTCATTAAATCTGGATTGTTGAACTGAACAAGCCACTCAACGATTCGAAGACTGAAATCCCTAAAGTCTATTACAGATGCACCGTTGAACGATATTATAATTTGACTATGTTGGGAGAAAGAAGATCTAACGGATTTTTGCAACTGACACAAACGGACTCGGTCGACTCCGATTTAGATTCTGGAGTCAATGCAACTTCGGCTCGTGGCGTTGGAAGCAGTTGTAGTGACTGAAATAAATTTTGAATTTTCTGAAAATTTCCATCAGGAAATCTTTCCAACGGCGATCGGACGTAAACAATGAAGCAACTACAATCTGAGACCGAGATACAGACAACTCTGGAGCTGTCCGTCTTTCTGACTACAGCGGTTTCGAAAAGTGTCTAGCGATAAAGCGTAGAGTTAAAATACCCGGCAAGGCTGAAGGGGGCTTCGATCATTGCTGGCCCCGATAGGCAGTTTGTCCATTAAATTTTGCACCGTTTTTCTTCTATCTCAAATATATGTACATTTGAAACCAACTGAACGGGCAGCATAAACGTCACGGAGTCAGCGGTCATCCGAAACATAAGAACCAAACTATTATATTTACCAATCTTACTAGTTCTATATATATTCAATTGCGTATTCTAGAGCTTCTTGCAGAACTGCGACAAGAACGATCTGAATAAAATTGAATCTCTGCTATGCGTACGAATAGATACAAATACCGTCAGAAGTAAGACCTACAGATAAATTTGTACGTCTACAGCTGCGCTAGATATTTGACGGACACACAGACACTTGGTGGAAAGATAAAGTGCCGGAAAAAGTAATAAAATGCTGGAAAAATTCTATTAATAAAGATGTATTAAATTAATTGAGAAACGATTGTGTTCGCCGTTTAAAGTATTTGATCTTCTATCAATAGAAATAATTTTTATTCAGCTTTTTAAAGTATTATTATATTAAAGTCAGACAGCAGCCGAAATACTTCAGGATAGGCGAGGTTATATAATAAGAACCTCGTAACTGAAAGTATTCAAAAAGGGCTTGTTATGTTCTTGCAGCAGATTACTTACTCCATTTTTCGTAGATTCGGATCATTTTGATCATATGCATAATCAGCTGTAAGTTCCTGTTTATCCCAATTAATGTTTGAAGCACTGTGAGAAGGGAAGCGGAGCTGGAGCTTTGGCACACTGGTATCAACGACGATTTTACATCGGACAGCCGCTACGTATTATACAAAAAACAATGCCTTATTCGTTATTATTTTGCTTTAGTGTTTGATGTCAGGCACACATCTTAGCAGCTCGATTGGTTTAGCGATCCATTTTATGTTCCGTTTGGTGTAAGGACAAATAAAGGCGTTGCTCTTCGAGGCTATCACAGTCACTGGCTCGTCAGAATTCTTTAACGGCTCTGATGGACAATGATGTTTCGTTTAGCATCTATCTGCATTGGGATTGTTACACTAGATACACGTAGGCCGGTATCGCTCGCGTGCGTCTGCATGTCTCTCTTTAACCTCCCCTAAAAATACCACAAGGGAGACTTTCCGCAGAATCTCCTGTACAGCACGCACCCGAAGTCGAGTGAACGTTTTTGATTGCAAAGCCGTCGCAATAGCATTCCCGTGTTAACACTTGTATCAGGGCTATCTCGCAACCTCGCGGTTATCAATGCTTGTCTTGAATTCCGGTGCAAAACTGGTTTTCATACAGATGACCTTTAGGAAGCTCATGCATGTTCAATGGGCACTTATACATTGAATATGCGTTACGCTGAACCTGCGCTCAACGTCCTTTTTTGTCTTTTTGGTTCGCAGGGTGTCCTGACAGGCCCACCTGCCGCGACGGGATCCAGTGAATCGCCTTGTAAAATCGTAGTTAGTTCTTTGAAGAATTTCTCCTATGCTACCATTATGCAATCCGTAAATGTCACGGATGTTGTAAGTTTTTTTTTTGCTGATCAGGCAAGCGGCTTGCGTGTTCTCGTCTTGGCTTTCTGTATATTCGTTCCACTGAAGCTACTCGACCTTCCGATGTCCTGTGTGCTCCAAGTGGGTTTTTTGTTGATTGAAATTTTGCAGATTGCACCTGCAATACATCACACGCCTGGAATTACACAATCCCATTTCTTACTCACTTTCCGTTTTTTCAGCATTTGGGTTATAGTTCTGCAACACATAACATGTGAAATGTCGGTTTTTACCAATGGTGTTTTTAGACTCCAAGGTCTGCTTTCGCGAAAAGCCCCTCGATAGTGGCAATGTGTTTTTCCCCTTCGGATCCTGATTACCTTCCTGCTGGTCTTCGGTCTCCGTGTTTGACACGTTTGCATCACTCACGTATTACTATTCTTGCCTAATATATTCACTAACCTTCGATGAATTTCTGCAGCGCTGTAGCCTTGGCCATTGAGCGTTGATGCTCAAAGCTAACGGATGCGTTTCTTCTGAACTCATTTCTCCGGGGGGAAGCTTAATTGGTCTTCATTCACAGGTGTCGAGACACCTATTTGTCAGCCAAATTCTATCTGCTAGTAAAAGTTATCTAATTTCAAGGTATGCTAGATTCACTTGAAGTAGCCTACTATAATGGTATCGCTGTTAGCTAGGTATCGTTCGTTTGAATAGAATTTTCCTTGACGGTGGAATCATGATCACGACCGCTAAATTATTAGTATTTTTGTGCTAAACTATTTTAGTTGGCTAGTAGTTGCATAGTATTCAGTTGGCAGTAAGATCTCCTCGGGTGAATTCAAAGTCAGTCACAGTTGTCGTGCATTATAC